AAAAAAAAAACTAAGCAGAATCTTTGCGTCCATGTTTCCCGACGAGTTTCACATCTGTTCAGCTTATTCAACTACATCCTTCAAAAGGACTTAACCAACTTACCGCTTTTCACCTGTTTGTTCCATTGAAAGCAGATGCCATTTATACGTTAAATAGTAGAGTAGCTGGACATTACTCTCACCGACAAGCCAATGTCCTGGTCGGCTGAAACGACATGACGGTAACAACGCACATTGCCGAGATCCTACGCCAGGGGATCTGGGCATCATTGACTGGTGGATGGTGCGTTTTGCCTAAATTTTCATTTACTTTGTTTTACTTTCTGAACTTCATAAATATGTCTTGGTAAATGTAAGACTTTAAATGGACTTTGGCAACTTCAGTAGCAATCTAGTGATCTTAGGTTTTTTGAGCACAATTCTTGACGATGGACATATATCTACCCTTAGGCATTGACGAGCGAGTGTGCTTTGTCCGTAACAGCGTGAAAACGCGACGCGCGTTGGTTGCTGCTTTTGGCTTGTCACTTAAAGTTGGTCGCGACAACCAGCTTGTTCTTACGTTAGCGTAGCGCAGGCAACACAACTATGGTTCAACCTCGAAATATATAATTTTGTTATCGACTGTAGTAGTGCAGCAGTCGAAAGTTATACAGCTAAGACCTTTCTGAATGCACTGCTATACTTGTATTGGCCAGATCAGCTACTGCCACGTGAAAGCTCTTCATTAACCTTTCTCCTAGGTACTATGAACCATCGCATTCCATCTTCTGCAACACTGTGCATCTCTACCTTTGGCTGGTTCTTTTGATCGTACCCTTGGTTGTGGGACTCGTCACATCTGGAGCTCTTTCTCTGTCGCTCCTTATTGGGTATACTTGTTTCATCGGCGTTCTGTTTGCTATTCTCAAGGTGGGTAGAAAATTGGATTTTTTGAATGCTCACTTTAAGAATCATTTTAGACTATCGTATCTCACCTTCACATTGTCTTTGACACATCCGAGCCAATAATAACGACGAAGGTAATTCCAGAATCTGACAATCCAACCAGGGCAGATCCGGAAATTATAGGTTTGTAATTTACATTAAAATTTACAAATCGGTGCACAGCATAGGTGGGTTCAGAACAAGAGGATGAAGATGTCCTTGAAATGGTGGAGTTGAGGGATGTCCGCAGAAGAATCACTAATGATGACGTGATCATCGATCCTCCTCTGAGATCTAGGGTATGTTCTCCCTTTGCTTTCTTTAGCTTTTTTAAACTTCTTGAAGGTGTTTATGCTTTTTTTGTGGGTTTACTGTTCTGAGATACATCACCTAGCTTTTCTTCATTAGCCAAAATATTTAGGTCCCTTTTCTTTTATTATATCGTTTCACATAAAAGTGTTCAATATATGCGCATCTAGGGCGATCGCCGTCGAGTGCGCATTGAAAATGATCTTCAAGAAATGCCAAATGTTAGCAAAACCATTGCTGTAGTGCAGAAAAGAATTGGATTAGAGGTAAGACTGTTTAGAAAGTATCAAATGCTTTCGTATCTTATTAGTGTTTGCTTGCTGCACTTAATATCTTCCATATCTTTTTCTGTAAAGGACGATAGTGATGAAGACACGAAAGACAAGGTTGTAGAGGTGCAAGATATAGCAATTGTTGAAGAAGCACCAAACAATGACAGCGAGCTGGAGTTGTCTGTGTATGTTTAAAATGCTTTCTGGGATCTTTCCCTATTAGGTATACGATGTTCTCAAATTCTCCATCATTCAGCGACGGAAGTCATGCAGATGCTTCTATCAAACGAAGGCTTTCTTCTGCAATGTCACGCAAAATGTCCGAGCCTGTGATGTCAGTGGAGGGACGAAAAAAAGGTTAGCGAATTGAAAACTCTCCTGAATCCATGAATGATCTACCTGGATGACATGGCTTTATCACAAATCGGTTGGTCTCGTAATTTTCTTTCCGTAAATACTAACCGGTGGACTATTTAAGAGAAGTTGCTATATCACGAATTAGTCATTATCAAAGAAATCCGGGAAGACGAAGTATTAATTGCTTAGGAGGTGCAACTGGTACCCGTTTTATTTCCAGTAACTACTTGGATTTGTTTTTTCTACTATTACTGGACTTGGCATGGGATGTGCATTACGTCAAAGGTTTAGGAAGATCCCAGTTTTCAGAATCTCAGCACGGTTCAGATGTGGCACTGAACTCTAGAGTTCGTCGAGCAAACTCTTCGTTCGAATCATCTAGTAGTCACCGTGACAAAGGCATGCTTAGCCAGTCAAGCTTGGATCAGGCAAGACAGGTAATAGTTTAGTTTCTTAAAAATCTGTATAATCAGCTTGAATTATAGAACACCCATAAATCATATCCTTCAAAGATGAGCAGTGCTGAAGAGTTTCATACAGGTGGTTTGAAAGCAAGGGTTACAAAAAAAGACGAAGTTATCGGTCCTCTCACGGAAGCTGGGGTCTCCAGTAAGTTCTCCTTTGAAAATAGCTGAAGTTCTTCTTATTGTATCATTCAAGTGTTTTCGCAAAACAGCGAATTGAT